GAACAATTAAAAAAAAAAAGTTGATTATCATAATTTTTGAAAAAATTTATAAATTTTTTTGAAAATTTATTAAAATTGTGATAATCAACTTTTTTTTTTTTAATTGTTCATTATTTTATGTATTTTTCAAAAAAAAAAATATATCAAAATTCTCAAAAAAAAAATGAAAATTAAAATAGTGGACCCCACTTGTAAATAATTACCAAAATCATTAACATTTTATTTTATTATCTAAAATTATTAGTTATAAACTCTTTAAAAAATTTACTTGACAATTATTCGCAAAATCGCCAAATTGCGCTTCCCAGAGAGTCAATGTATTGTGATCATAAGCTGAATAGCCCAATTCAAAGCCTGGAAAAAGTTTTCATTAGTTTTTTTCACCTGAAAAAAATTTTCTATAATAAAAAAATAAACCTAAGACTCCAAACTCCGATAACGGTGAATTGGTAACGGTATAAAGAGCCTGATTCGGGAAAATATCATGTAGAATATTTTTCCAAGTCTTGTCTCGGCTCTGGTCATGAATAATGTGAATCCGGTGAGAAAAAGTCCCGCGTTCGACGTCTTGACCGGACAATCTCACATGGCAGCCTTCTTTTAGTAAGCTGGCGATAGCCAGGGCTTCTCCCATCGCCCAGTCGAACCTTTCCTGGTCAATCAACTTCTTTCTTCTCTCTAAAACCCGAAACACCTGGGCGTGTGGTTCGATGCCTTCTGGGCTAGTTGAAAAAGCAGTAACTATTTTCTTTATGTCAGCAGTGCTGATTCCTGTCGGTGGAATTTTCTTCATCGGGTTTTGGTTAGCGAAAAATTCGCTCCACGGCACGTCATGCCAGTCTGACATCTGCATGGCGCTTATCGTTTGCGCTTTTTTGAACTCTGATTCACAGTGCTCTAGATATTCATTCGTTTCCTGGAAAATCAAGATAAAAATTTTTATTCTATTTTTTAGAGTACAAATGATAAAAAAATTATCGATACTTTTTTGATAAAATCTTCGTCGATAATTCCCTCCTTTAATAATTTATCGGAATAAATTTTCAGAACATTAGGATGGGATTTAATGCACTTGTACATTAATGGCTGGGTTAACATCGGCTCGTCCATTTCATTGTGACCGTTCCGGCGGTACCCGACAATGTCAAGTACAACATCATTGTGATAAATCGTTCTATTTAAATAAATTAATAATTATCGTAAATTATGCCTGTAAATTTTTTAATCTTAACATGTTAGATAATATTTGAGTAATTTTGTCATTTTAAACAAAGTTAATGTTAAAAAAAATATAATTCTTCGTTGGTAGAAAAATATATAAGCTATCATTTCTCATTATCGTAATGATTAATGATAAACAATCAAATACCGATACTCGGCGGCGACTTTACTGCAGTAAGCCACCAAATCAGGATCGTCTGCGTGGACGTGGAAAATCGGAGCATTTACGACACGTGCGACGTCAGTACAATGCGTACTTGAGCGAGAGTACCGCGGATCTGTCGTAAAGCCAATCTAAAAAAGATTATTTTTATTATTTTAGTAAATAATTTTTCTACTATAAGTAAATTTATTCTAGATTTGTAAATATAATTAGTTTTTATTTTATTTTTATATTTTCACTATTAAAAATATTGCAACATTATTTTTTATTGTGAAAATTGATAATAGATTGAAAATAAAAAAAAAATTAATTTGATTTAATAGAAAAATTTTTGAAATAAGAAATTTATCTAAACTAGCAACCTTGCAGTCACTATGTGACTGCCGTGATTGTGAACTATAAATAAACAAAAATTATGTTTCATTAAATAAGTTTTGTTAAATTGCACTGTATTTTATTATCTATTGACGTTTTTAAAGATATAAGTTCATCCCGATGTTACACTCATTAAGAGCTTTCATTTGAGTACCCACATGCATTTTTATATATTTTTCACATATACATATATGTAATACTAGCAGTCTGCCCTAGCTTCGCACGGGTATTTATCAAAAATTTCAAAATTAATTATCATATAATATAGCCTATGTCCCCCGGGGATAGTGTAGCTTCTCAACAGTGAAAGAATTTTTCAAATCGGTTCAGTAGTTTCGGAGCCTATTCAATGCAAACAAACAAACAATCAAATCTTTTCTCTTTATAATATTATAAAAATAAAATAAAATAATAAAAGGCGCGCAGTAGCCTATCGGATCCGGCCCTTGCTACCAAAGCATTGGACCGGGTTCGAGTCCGGCGTACACCAATGAATATTTTCAATATTTAAGTGTATTATTCTGCTCAGCCCAAGAAATACAAACGAGTTCCAATCTCAAAAGTTTACCCCCTACCGTAGTCGCTCATGACCTTAGTAGTTTATGCGACTTTAAACAAATTAAAAAAAATAAAAATAAAAAATATAAAAAATAATAATAATAATAATAATAATAATAATAATAATTTACTGTTATTTCAGAAGATCGGTGTTTTCATTAATTGAATTAAAATTCATTTAATGAAAATTCATTTAATGAAAATTAAAAAATTAAATTAGTCGTAACATCAATTTGGATCAGGTATAATGGCTTAGAAAATATATAACTCTTCAATTAATAATAATAATAATATTGGTATAGATATATAAATATATGAAAAATTGATGTGGGTACTCAAATGAAAGGTCTTGCCGAGTGCAACATCAGGATGAGCTTCTATCTTTAAAAATGTCAATAGTTGACAAGATACAAGGTCATTTCTTAATTATGTTTCTAAAGATAGAGTATTATCGAATGCAGCCTAAATAGTTATCATCATAAATATACTATCGGTGAGAATGATATGAAACCTCGAAAAGGCACAACTCCAGGTTAAAACTTTTCCAACAATATCAAATTTAACCATAAAAACCCATTTTATCATATAAATCACTGGCCACAAAACTTTGTTTATTCTCTAAATAATATAGATTTGTTTTTTAGTGAAGTAATATAAACATGACATTGAATTAATATTAGTTTCTTCAAGGTTAAAATAACCATAAGTTCAATTTGTAAAAGTTAATTTCCATAATTCATAAAATTTATATAAAATAAAATTCTAAAAGAGGCGCGCAGTAGCCTATCGGATCCAGCCCTTGCTTACCAAAGTATTGGACCGGGTTCGAGTCCGGCGTACACCAATGAATATTGCATGCCTTAAGCGCGAACCGCGCAGGTATGCTCTACTCTCGCCTAAAAATCGTGATTTCGATTAAAACGTGATTTTCATAATTTAAACGAAAAAAATTATGGATAAAAAGCATATTGAAATAAATAATAGTAACTATAGAACACATTAAAAAAATTTTATTATCGATTAAATAAGATTTCTCAGAAAAAACTCGTTTTTCTGATGAATTAAATGAATAAGAGCGTGGTATTCACGGGAGCTATGGGCTTGACAACACCACAACTTTGTTAAAAATCACTTTCACGATTTAATTTTTTTTTTGTTTTATTCCTGAGGAAGTTTATCAAAACCCTTGTGAAAATTGCGTGTCAAAATAATTCCGTTTCGATACAGTTAATTTTTTTCGATTGTCAGTTCGGTGACTTTTTCTGCGATTTCGGCAGCCATATGTATTATTTTTCATAAACAGAATTGAAATAACTATAAGCAAGCAGAAACTATACATACATGATGGTATAATTACTAACTGTTTTATCATCTGTTAAAATTTTTCTTTAGTTCGACCTACAGAGGGCATAATACTACTCGCGGGAAAATTCAAATTAAAAACGAATAATTTTTGTTATGATCTAAATATTTTATGTATGACATGAGCGCTTAAGGCATGATCATTTGGATTTTCCAAACTTTTTTCAATATTTAAGTGTATTATTCTGCTCAGCCCAAGAAATAAAACGAGTTCCAATCTCAAAAAGTTTACCCCCGATAGTAGTCGCTCATGACCTTAGTAGTTTATGCAACTTTAAACAAATTAAGAAAAAAATTCTAAAAACTAACTTGGTTGTTAATAACAGCATGAATAACTCCTCCAGTGGTGTAATCAGGCAAATTAGTCAAGTGCATTGTTTCATAACAAATTCCTTGGCCCGCAAAAGCCGCATCTCCGTGAACTAAAACTGCCATTGACTTTTTTCCCTCGAAATCCTGGTGGACCACCTGCTCGGCTCTAACTCGACCTACAACCAACGGAGAAACTGCTTCCAGATGCGAAGGGTTACCTAGTACAGCAACACGAATTTTTTTTCCGCTTCTAAAAAATATTTACATTCAGAAAAATTTGACCTATAAAATCTATTATAAAAAAAAAAAAAAAAAAAAAACAAAATTACCTCTCAAGAAGTCTTTCAGAGTGAGTTCCCAAATGATACTTTACATCTCCAGAGCCTAGACCCTCCATCGGAATCGGATTGAACTGGACAAAGAGCTGGTGCATCGGCTTAGAGCAAATGTTGACCAGGGTGTTGAGCCTCCCTCGATGGGCCATTCCAATGACAGCTGCCTCGACTCCATGTTCTGCAGAGCTCTCGAAACACTGGACAATCGCCGGAACAAATGACTCGCATCCCTCCAACCCGAATCGCTTTTCGGCTCCATATTTTTTAGCTAAAAAACTTTCAAATGTTACTGCTCGCATTACGTTCTGCCAAATATATTTACGATGATCTCCTGAGAGCTCCCATGCACCTGGTACTTCAAATTTGTGTCTTAACCAGTCCAACTAAATTTAGATTTAAACATTAGTCAAAAACTTTTAACAGAATTATAAAAAAAAAAAATAACAAACCACTTCAAAATCTGGGATGTACGTGTACTCGAGTCCTAGATGTCCGCAGTAAATTTTGTTGAGCCTGGTGAGGATTTCCCTGAGTTTCAGAGATTTTTCCGTGCCGCCAATCACCGTCAGGGAGCTTGGGAGCGTGTATTTCTTCTCCAAGTCAGCCTCAGTGACGCCTTCCAGGTGTCTTCGGACCACTACTGCTGGCGCGGGATCTGGAGTTCCTTGGAGCTTGGCCACTTCAGGGTTCTGGATCCCCAGCGGATCTATGTCTGCTATTAAATGTCCTCTCGCCTAAAAATCAACGATTTTAATTAGTTTATTAGTTAGCTACTTAATTATTAATTGGCCCAGTACCTGATAAGCGCGAATCGTTGCATCAATATCTAAGGGCTTTTGGCCTTTCAATCAAATGTTTGATTAAATTTTCACAATTAATTTTTTGAGAAAGTATAAATAAAAATAATAAATATATATACCTGAAAAATTATTAGATCGGAAATAATTGTCCCAGGATTTTTCAACAGACTGAGGGTCTCTTAACCACGAATTATAAGTTTCTTCTAAAAATATTCCGTTACCAGGATTGAGAAACGTTTCCTTTTGACGTTTTATGCTCGTATTCATTGTGATTATTTTTCTAAAAATATATTTGCAATTACTTACTTTAAAAGAACGTAAAATATAAAACATTTTTACTTATCCATTTATATTTATTAAATGAAGCTCATTTTTTAATCCATGTTTATGAAATTTGTTTTTAGAATTAAATGACAGTCTTATTTGGCTACGTTCAATTTAAATTTTATTTTATTGAACAATTGACGTTATTTATATTGTTATTATTTTCTTTTAGGGTAGTGGAACATCGGCACTTGGAGAGCACAGAATTTTTACCATAAATCCTACCAATAATCCAGCAGACACTATTTTTCAGAACAATCAAATTAAATCAAGCAAGGTGAGTCTGTAATAATTAATTAAGTAAATAATTTTTTCAACAAAATAAATTATGTAAAAAAAAAATTAACATTGAAAATGCAAATTTTTTAAAATAATTTATTTGATAAAAATTAATTTAACAGATATTTTATAATTTTAAGAATTTTTTTCAACAAATGAATTATGTCAAAGAAAATGAGAAAAAAAAATTGACATTTAGAAAATTAAAAAAACAAAAAATCCAATTTTTTAGAAATAATTTTTCGGAGCAAATTTATTTATTAAAAAAAATTAAAAAATTGTCAAGCAACTGCTAATTTTAATGTCATATTTATTTGTTAAAAAAAATAAAAAAAATAATCTAGCCACTGCAAACTTCAATGTAAATAATTTTTTTTTTTTTAGTATACAGTATGGAATTTTCTTCCAAAAAATTTGTTCGAGCAGTTTCGGCGAATAGCAAATTTTTATTTTCTACTGTCAGCTATTATAGCGATGTCTAACGAGTCTCTGGCGGCGTCAATAACAACACTACTCCCCCTGGTGTTTGTAATATTTGTGACAGCTTGCAAGCAAGGTTATGAAGACTTCCTGAGGCATCAATCTGATTATCGCGTAAATGGTACTTCTGTTACTGTCATACGCAATAAATGTATGCAAGTATGTTTATTTATAATGATATATTTTTTTTTCATGTAATAGCTCATCAGCTGCACACTAATTTTTCAAACATTAAAAATTTTACTTATAGGTTATAAGATGTGAGCAAATAGTCGTAGGAGACTTAGTAAGAGTGTCCAGAGATCAAGATTTACCCTGTGACATTATTTTACTTTATAGTAGTGAATTAAACGGGTCTTGTTATGTAACTACATCTAATCTTGACGGTGAATCTAATTTAAAGGTAATAAATATTTATGATAAATAACAATGAATCAAACATTTCTTCCCTAATTAAGAAGAAATGACAAATTTTCAGGCTCATGGAAATTAGAGTAGCAGATATTTGATAATTTTTTAAGAAATAAATTACTGTAAAAAAAAAATTGACATTTAAAAATTTTTAAAAATAAAAAATGCAATTTCTTAAATGAAATTTTTTTGGTCAATCAAATTAAATTAAAGAATTATGGAGTGACTGCTAACGTTAATGTCATTTCAGACTTTGCAAGTGCTGAAGGTAACTTTGAATAAATCAATAGAAGAAATAGTCAGCATGGAGTGTCTAGTCACCTGTCAGCATCCTCAATCAAACCTCTACGAGTTCCACGGCAAAATCGAAGTAAAGTTCTCCGAGAATAACCTGGCTTCGGGGTTCATTTCAATTGACAATGTACTGCTGCGAGGGTCGCGTCTCAGAGATACCGAGTTTATTATCGGCGCTGCTGTGTACTCTGGATCTGATACCAAACTCTCTAAAAATTCCAAACAAACTCCAAATAAATTCTCAACAGTCGAGAAGTAAGAATTTTTATTTTTTACAAAAAAATAATTTAAATAAATACTAATTGAATTTATTTTTCTTCTATTAGGAGTATTAATTTGTACCTGGTATTTTTTATATTTGTATTGATATTAGAAATAACTATTTCTACGGTATTGAAGCAATTGAGTGATTATGATCATCAGGGGCATCATTATTTGAATATTAACAGTACAACTAGTTTCTTTAAAGTTGTTAGAGATTTTTTATCATTTACAATTCTTTACAATTACATTGTGCCTATATCTCTTTACGTCACCGTTGGTAAGTTTTTTAAATATTTAAATTTATCAATTAATATATATTATTAAGAGAATAAGAAAAATTTTGTATCCCGGATAGTCATATGATAAAATCGGTTTTTTTTTTTTAGTGAAATTTAGTGTCATTGCTAAGGTCTTGATTTGAATTTGTGTCTTTTTACACGCTTTTTATTTTATTATTATTATATTAGCTTCACTTGTATGTCAGTATGTCAGTATGTCAGTATGTAACTCTCCGTGGGTAATTTGCGCGCCTGCGGCCTATAATTTTTCTCTACAGTCGATAAGACAGGACTTGATGTTAATTTTAATTTCTAATAATTATCTTTAGCCGATTTCTCTAATATTGACAAATTTTCGAATACTAACGAGAATTTTAATCCTACAAAACAAATAATAGTTTAAAAAAACTAAAAAATCACGCTTTTATAAATTAACCAAACTAAAAAGTAAAAAATAAATAATAGTTTAAAAAAACTAAAAAATCACGCTTTTATAAATTAACCAAACTAAAAAGTAAAAAATAAATAATAGTTTAAAAAAACTAAAAAATCACGCTTTTATAAATTAACCAAACTAAAAAGTAAAAAATAAATAATAGTTTAAAAAAACTAAAAAATCACGCTTTTATAAATTAACCAAACTAAAAAGTAAAATCTGTCAATAAAATATTTATAACTATTGATACCATGCACCCCACGCTTTTTTTAAAATAAAATACATTTTTTTTTATTTACACTATTATTAATTTATATTTATTGAAATTTTTAACACTATTCTTAATTTAAATTTATTAAAATTTATTTTCTATTTTTTAGTTTGATTTTCTATAAAAAGCGTGTTTTTAGTTTTTTTAAACTATTATTTATTAGAGTTTCATATCATTCTCACCGATAGTCAATTTATTATGATAAGTATTAAAGCTGCATTTGAAAATGCTTTATCTTTAGATACATAATTAAGCAATTACCTTGTATCTTGTGAACTATTGACATTTTTAAAGATATAAGCTCATCCCGATGTTACACTCATCAAAACCTTTCATTTGAGTACCCACATCAATTTTTCATATATTTATATATCACGTGCCAAAAGGTAAAAGGGCGCATAATTTTTTTTTTTTATCACCAATCGACTGGTTTACATATTTTTCACCTACAAATGAAGCATTGATTTCCTAATGCTAAAACGGCTTATGTCTCTAATTATGCGCCCTTTTAGCTTTAGGAATTTAAAAATTTTATGACCTAAAGCTAAAAGGGCCTATAAAATTTTTTTTACACAATTCATTAAAATGCTTATTTTTAGCCTAAAAATTAAAAAAAAAAAAACGGCAGAGTCAAAGAGACGTATTCTAACGACACATACATTCTTTTAAAAATACAATTAAAAAATTGCTAAATATGCGTGATTGTATTAATTTATTTTTATTTGAAAATTATTTTAATCCTATTAGTTTTTGATTAATTTACTTATCCATTGCTTGTATAAAAATAGTTTAAAATTATTATTTTTTCAATATTGTTCAAGTACTTAATAGCCGATCCCCTCTTTTTCTCGTTTCGCAAAAAACGGTACTATCATTGTTGCACTCATGATTATAAAGCTATTGCAGTTTTATGTTTTTCTTTTAAACAAATGAGAATTTCGAAAAAAAACTCTCTACTACGAAATAGATAATTAAAAAATCTATTACGTAGCAGAGCATTTTTTTCAAAATTCTTTGCCTAGGAGAGAAATATAAAGCAGCAATCGTAGGGACCGGCTGTAAAGAAATTGTTTTTTATTTATTAAACTTTTTTATTTCATATCTTGTGAAGCTATTTATCAAAATTTTTTATAAAAACTTAAATTTTTTTTATGCGCCCTTTTAGCTTTAAGATGCTCGAATTTTTTTTATACAGATCTTTGTGTTTTGAGCGATTTTAAGAAGAATGACAAAAAAAATTTTTCTTATGCGCCCTTTTTGCATTAGGCACGCGATATATTATGTATATGTGTATATGAAAAATATATCAAAATGCATGTGAGTACTCAAATGAAAGTTCTTAATGAGTGTAACATCGGGATGAGCTTATATCTTTAAAAACGTCAATAGTTAAGAATGTATAGTGGACTTTAACAAAAGTCATTATTTAATAAAGCAAAATTTTATTTATTTATAATTCACAAGTCACGACAGTTACATAGTAACTGCAAGCTTGCTAATTATCGCTTATTTATTTATGAATTAATTTCTTTCAAATGACAATTATTAAAAAAAAATTTAATCCTGCAGAACTACAAAAATTTCTGGGTTCATTATTTTTCCACTGGGACCTTGAAATGTACGACGAGCGCAATAACCAACCAGCAGTAGTGAACACATCAGACTTGAACGAAGACCTGGGACAGATCGAGTACTTGTTAACTGACAAAACGGGAACTTTAACAGAAAACCTGATGGTGTTCCGTCGCTGCAGTATCAACGGAACGATGTACATAGAAAAAGACTGCAATGGAAAAATTTACGAACTTCCGTTGAACGGAAACGAGCATGAAGCTACAAAAGTAGTGACCTGGCCGCCAGAAATTTGGCACTTCATGATCGCGTTGTCGCTCTGTCATTCAGTCCATGTCGCTCCTCCGATTATCATGGACGGTGTCGTAGCGCGACGTACTGCCTTCCGTGAGAGCTTTCGCCAGAAAACGATCCGACGAGTCAACAGCTCGCTGCTGATGGATCCGAGCTTGCCTGAGTATCAGGCTGCTTCTGCGGATGAGAAAGCTCTCGTGGAAGCGAGCGCTAGGTGCGGAGTTATTCTCACTAAATATGAAGGTGACTTGTTGGAAATAAAAGCTGGAGATCAGTACTTGAGTTTTACTTGCCTGGAAATTTTAGAATTTACTTCTGGTGAGTGGATAAATTTTTCCTAATTTTTATTTAATAAATAATTTAATTTTTAAATAATATTTTTTTAATTTTTTAAATAAAATTTTTTTAATTTTTTTAAATAAAATAATTTTAATTGATTAATTAATTTTAATTACAGAGCGTAAAAGAATGTCTGTTATCGTGCAAGATTCTGCTAATGAACTGTGGCTCTATTCAAAAGGCGCTGACTCGGAAATGTTTCCGCTGATGCATGAAGGAAAAATCCAAGAAACTGAGCAGCATGTCGCTGATTTTTCACAAGTAAGTCAGAATAATACATTGTATAAAATTAATTGTTAATTGGTGTATTAATTGCAGAGAGGTCTTAGGACGCTGGTAGTGGGCTGCAAAAAATTGACAGTGCAAGAATATGACAAGTTTATACGCCTGGCGGAACAAGCGAGGCAAATAATTGGCCCAGAAAGATCTAAACAGGTGGAAAAGGTTTATTTGTCGGTAGAAAGAGGAATGACTCTGCTTGGAGCCACTGGGATTGAAGACAGTCTTCAGGAAGGTGTTGAAGAAACACTGGAATCGCTTCGAGCTGCTAATATTAAAGTAATTTGTTTTATAATTTTTATTTAGAATATTTTTTTAATTTTTATTGTTTATAGGTTTGGGTACTGACTGGTGATAAAGCTGAAACCGCTGAAAATATTGCGTTTTCTTGTGGACATTTTAAAAGTGGTACCGAAGTATTGAGACTTATGGGACAATCAACAGTACAAATTTGTTTTATCACATTGACGAGTTATGAGTAAGTTTAATCTATATTATTAAGAGAATAAGAAAAATTTCGTGTCCAGGACAGTTTTACGATAAAATCGGTTTTTTTAGTGAAATTTAGTGTCATTGTAAAGATCTTGACTTGAATTTGTGCCTTTTCAAGGTTTCATATCATTCTCACTGATAGTTAATTTATGATGATAAGTATTTAGGCTGCATTCGAAAATTCTCTATCTCTAGATCCATAATTAAGAAATGACCTTGTATTTTGAGAACTATTGACATTTTTAAAGATATAAGCTCACCCCGATGTTATAATCATCAAGACCTTTGGTACTTTCATTTAAGTACCCACATCAATTTTTCATATATTTTATATATTTATATATATTACATATATTTATATAT